AAAAAAAAAAAAAAAACTCTTCCAAGCAGAAGGACCCCCAGCTCAGTACATAAATGAGAATAAGAGACAACATTACACAATGGTCAACTAAATGATCTTTCATCAGAAATCTGCAAGACAACAATATGGAAAAATCTGTGGTTCTCAGTACGGGACAACTCTGACACACCCCTCCCCATCATCCAGACTTCTGGTGGTATCTGGAGATATCTTTGGTTGTTCTGATCTGGGGGATGCTACTGTGGGGGATGCTACTGACATCTAGCACGTAGAGAATGTTGCTAAACGCTCTACAATGCCCAGAATAGTTCCCTACAACAAAAAATTACCCTGGCCAAAACTGTCAACAGTGTCAAGGTTGAGAATTCTGCTCTCACAAATTCCACGGATCATCTTTGAAAGTGTACACTTGACAACTATAAACCAAACCCGAATGTGAGAACGACAAATAGAAAGTAGTTGAAAAGCCAAAATACTAAAACCATTGCTCAGTATTAGTCATCTTTCCTCTATCTACCCTTTTGGACTTCTGAACAGAACAGCTGGTAGCACTGGGGTGGATAAATGAAAGAGGAAGTAATTTGCAAATCTGTGGTTTCAAATGAAAATGTTGCAATCTATATACATATGCAGGCTGTTGATGATTTGAATGAACTGCTAAAATGGTTCTAAGTTTGCTTTATAATTTATAGGTTTGAGAAAAATGAGATACCTAATATTATCAAAATTAAGAAACCCTAGCAATCTTAACAAAACTTGTTAGAGATGTGAAATCAAATACTGTATCAGCAAATTCATACCACTGGCCCAACTGAGGGCTGTATTTGCTAGGAGCTCCACCTTCCCCATTGCTGGTTCCAGGATGCATCCACTGGAGTGGGGACAGTGGTCTGGATCTCACTTCTAGTTCTGTCCCTCACTGATTAGGTAACCTAGGACAAGTCATAATCTTTCTACACTTCTATCTTTACATGTGTTACACAAATTTTTCTTCCAGCTAACTTTCTATAATTCTAAAGACGTCATATAAATGACTAAGGCTCTTTTTGTTGTTGTTAAAAACAGGGTCTCATTTGCTCAGGCTGGTGTCTTGAAATTCTGGCCTCAAGCAATCCTCTGGCCTCAGCTTCCCCAAAGTGCTAGGATTACAGGCATGAGCCACTAGGCCCAGTCAGGCTCATACACTTAATCCTGCTCTCTATTCTCACTCTAAATTATGCTTTCATTTGAAATATGTTTTATGTTCTCTTTTCCCCTTCAAGGGTCTCCAGGATATTTTATTTTGATTCCCCTCTCATTTAAAACAAAAAGTTTCAATAGGGAAGTATGCATCCTCTAAAAATGACACAAAAATAACTATTTCATATAAATGGCTTTATTCAACCAAGAACATTAATGTTATTTGATATCCTTTTTTTTTTTTTTTTTGAGACTGAATCACCTAGCCTGGAGTGCAGTGGCACATTCTTGACTCACTGCAATCTCCATAATTTTTTTTTTTTTAAGTATAGACAGAGTTTCATCATTTTGGCCAGGCTGATCTCGAACTTCTGACCTCAAGAGATCCCCCCGGCCTCAGCCTCCCAAAATGCTGGGATTACAGGCGTGAGCTACCACACCCAGACGTTATTTGTTATCTTTATTTCTTTTTGAGACAGAGTCTCACTCTGTTGCCCAGGCCGGACAGAGTACAGTGGCGTAATCTCGGCTCACCCCAACCTTCGCCTCCTGGGTTCAAGCGATTCTCCTGCCTCAGCCTCCCGAGTAGCTGAGATTACAGGGGCCCGCCACCACACCCAGCTAATTTTTGTATTTTTAGTAGAAACGGGGTTTCACCATGTTAGCCAGGCTGGTCTCGAACTCCTGACCTCAGGTGATCACCCGTCTTGGCCTCCCAAAGTGCTGGGATTACAGGCCTGAGCCACCATGCCCAGCCTGTTATCTTTATTTCAAAATGATGTGATACCCTATAATGCAGAAATGAGTCCTTTTTGACTACCATATTATCACAAAAGTTTAAAGAGTATGTACCAGAGGTATAACCAACTTTATAAAGTGATTTTGGCATTATGGATCAAATAGGGTCAAAATTCAGGAAGGAAACAATCACAATTTTTTTTTTCCGAGATGGAGTCTCGCTCTGTTGCCAGGCTGGAGTGCAGTGGCACGATCTCAGCTCACTGCAAACTCCGCCTCCCGGGTTCAAGGGATTCTCCTACCTCAGCCTCCCAAGTAGCTGGGACTACAGGTGCGTGCCATCATACTCAGCTAATTTTTGTATTTTTAGTAGCGACGGGGTTTCACCATGTTGGCCAGGATGGTCTCGATCTCTTGACCTCATGATCTGCCCGCCTCGGCCTCCCAAAGTGCTGGGATTATAGGCATGGGCCACCGCACCCAGCGAACAATCATGATTTTAAAAAACATGTCAAGGTCATTTAAAATATTTAAGACATAGAGAAACTATTACTTTCTAGAATGAAGCATTTTTATTACGCACACATACACAGACACACACACTTTCAGGAGATAAGGCAAAGAACTAAAACACGAACGTAAGTGACTGGTAATTCCAACACTACAGGGATAAATACTATAAACACAATGAATGCAATTAAACTTCAGCTAACCAAACCAAATACATGTTTCTAGCTTTAGTAAAAGACAAACATAAAAATATTGAAAACACAAGCAGAAAGAATAAAACTTTTCAATGTTCAAGAAACATTAGAAGTGTTTTAAATTAACTGATCTTAAGCCTGTCCTGGGCTTAGAAAGTCTGATTAAGCTGGCCTGGTAAGGGGCATAGAAATATTCTTAAATTTTTTATTTTTTCTTTAGGCAGGGTCTTGATCTGTCACCTAGGTGGGAGTGCAGTGGTACAACCATGGCTCATGAAGCCTCGACCTCCACAGCTCAAGTGATCTTCCCACCTCATTTTTTTATTTTTTGTAGAGATGGGGTCTCCCTATGTTGCCCAGGCTGGTCTCAAACTCCTAAGCTCAAGTGATCCTCCCACCTCGGCTTCCGAAAGTGCTGGGGTTACAGGCATGAGCCAGGGCGCCTGGCCTTAAATTTTTTTATTACTATTTTTTAAAGATATTCCAATGACCCTGATGATCAGTGAAAGCTGCTATTTTAAAACACAAAGCTCATATAAATTTGGCATAAATTTGGCATATATTAAGGCTAGTATGCCATGTATAGCAAAGGCATTTAAATTGAGCCTGAAAAATGCTGAAAAATACGTCTTTACCAGTGTTAGAAGCCATTAATAAAACTTCTTTCATGAGGTCTAGAGAGGTTCTCAACGGGAAGTCAGAATATAGCAGTAAACGCTGGTTTTTAATATCATCCCAAGAGGCTGAGCACACACCAAACCAAATAGGAGATAACCATCGCGAGGCTGGGTGAGGGGCTAGCATGGTGCAAAGCTGGTTACCTTCTCAAAGTGCAGTCGAGACAGAAGCACTGGGCTGTTGGACTGAGGACTCTTGTTGTAAGAGGGGCAGTACTTATCAGGGTCTCTCCATTCCGGGAGCCGCTGCTGGCCCCGCCGATCCTGGTAGGCGCAAGCTCTCGTGAGAACATCTCTAGGTAAGTGACAGGATGTTCGCCCACACATTCTTCAACACCGTCCCTCGCAACCTTTAAATTACAAAAGGTAAGGAAAAGGCTTACATATCTCAAATATTAGGTCTTATTCCTTGAGTCCCCGCCTTCTCTTTCCGTTCCCACAGGGCCGTGCCCCTCCGTGACCACAGTCTAAAGTCTTCCCCAAGAAGTCCCACAAGGACAAGGATGTGCCCATTTGCTTCGCTCCCTGAGCTCACTGCCCAACTCCGTGCAGGGCACTGAGGCAAGTCCCCAGAGGAGCTCTGCAAAAGCCTGCCTGAGCGCAGGGAAGAGTCGCAGCAGAGGGGGCTTCACGGTCCAACCAAGCAGGGCAAGCGCAGCTAGCAGGGGTCGCCTCCTCCGGGTGACTCGGTGCCCCCAACTCCCGGTCCTTCCCCCGAGTCCCCGCTGGGGTCAGCGCCCCACGCCTGCCAGCACCCGCTTACCTCGAGGGCGG